CTAAATAGTTTCTTTGATTCCATCTCCCATTACCAATACATTATTTAAATATGGTCTTTCAAAGACAGGCATATTATGGGGCATTTTGAATATTAATCCGATGCATTTTTTTTTTTTGGTTGTAGCAATCTTTTTGAGAACATACTGGCCCAAAGGCCTATGCTACCAAATTGGTAACAACCCCCTGGATGTTCATATAGATGAAATTATATATAATTATCATGAGTTAAGAACAAATTAAGTGTCAGATGGTGGTGTTTGCCTTTAATTCCAGCACTCGGGAGGTTGAGGCAGGTGGATCTCTGTGAGTTCAAAGCCAACCTGGTCTACAGAGTAAGTTCCAGGATAGCCAGGACTACACAGAGAAACCCTGTCTTGGAAAAAAAAAGAACCAATTAAGTTTTGTATATAAAGACAAGGCCCAAGACATATAGTGACCAACCTGGAGGCAAAAATGCTCCATCAACACCCAGATTGTGTCTTTTAAGTATTATTTCCTACTAAAAAGACTCAGCACTCTTCAGAAAAACTGTTGGTAATATGTATACAATGGGAAGTGTGCAAGATAACACTAGAAAATACCATCACACCATCAAATCAAAGATTATGAGCAATACCACTGGGGTCATGTCAAAAGAATTCAGGAACCATCTTACAAAGGCCACCGATCAAAGATAGAACTTTACACATCAACAAGAATTCTACAGGACTGAAGCACACAAATTAAATCTATAACAATAATCTTCAAATCATTAATCATTTTTAGAATATGCTAGAGATAACTCATCATCTTGAAAACTTACAAGTGAATTTGAAAATACCTCAGTGCTTGTCTTGACTTTCTTGTCAAGACAAGTATGATGATGAGCAAATAGCAGTGGAGAGCACGTCCTCTTTAGAGATAATCCCCCTGGAAAAGGAAGACAGTAAAGTCAAAATACCACTGCTCCTCAACCCCCTAAAGATATGACAGATGATCAAAGAAACCAGTGATGGGTACATGCCTTTAATTGCAGCACTTAGGAGACTGATACAAAGTCAAAGGAGGTCAAAGTTTAAGGCCAGACCGAGCAACTCTTTAAGACCCTGTCTCAAAAGCCCAGGACAGGAAGGGGAGGGGAGGAGGGAAGAAGAACATGATGACGTAAGACACAAAATGGGATTTACAATGGACCCTGTAATAATTATGACCAACTAATGCAATAGAGAAAACCAAGCCTCCTGAAGAGGAGGTGGGCTGTATATAATTTGAAAAGTTCCAGACATGATTCTGTATTTCCATCTCTCCTCACTTGCGCTATACTAGAATACACAAACAACACTGTCATGTCTTCTCTTGGCCACTTACCTAATTCTATTCACATTTTTATAGTGAGTTAGTATCTAGTGTCACTAACTATAACATAAATATCCCCAGTGAGCTGCATGATTTACAATACTGGAACTAATTTTATTCATTCCCTCCTACCAATCTCCAAACTTAAAGCCAGTTTGTCATCTGGTTTGTCTTTCTCTTCACTTATGAGTACTCCACTCGGCCAAGATATGGCTGGAACACTTCTGTTGAAGCTGTGTGCCAACCCTGCATTCTATCTCATTGTGTCTGAGTCACAAACATCAGGTTGTCCTTCATTCTGAAGGCAACTGGGCTCCAGGGACAGATAAAATGCTTAATTATCTCACTCTGTTGTCCAAGACAAGCCTATTACCATATCAGTATTACATATAAAATACCATCGTTCAAGTCTATTAAGGGTGTGCTACGGTGTGAGCTATCTGAAAAATATACTATAGAAAATAATTGCTTGCCATTTTATTGCTTCTTTCCTGTTGAGCCTATCATAGCTGCTGCTATATACACTACTTAGTTTAAAGGGCAGAGGCTCTGAAGCCATACAGGTTAGATCCCACCTCCAGTGATTAGGTAACATACAAGTTACTTATTTCTCTGATTAGTTTGTCTTACCTGTAAAATTACCTTATCAGTATATGTTACATGGGAGCTTTATGGAGGTAGAATGCAATAATACATTGAAAGCACTTGGAACAGAAAACAATAAGTGTTTATTTGTTTGTTTGTTTGTTTTTCTTCTTTAAAATCAATGAATATTATTCTTTATAGAGATAGTAGTAGATAGCACAATAATATCTGGAAAACAAGTTGAGCAGCGTGGTTTTTAGGGGGGAAGCCCATTGAGTTTCCTTATGAGGTGTTTCCTTTTATTTTGTCTGTGCTTTTAAAACAAGGTCTTGCCCTGTAGTCCAGACTGGTGTCAAACTTACCACAATCCTCCTGCCACAGTCTCTCGGATGCTGAGATTCCAGGTTGCAGGGGGTGCGGGGAGGGGGGGGCGATAAACCATCAAGTTTCGTGTCCCTAGAATTGTATTTGCCGATGGTAAGGACCACCCAGACGGCGGGAAAGGTTGTCGCTGTCCTTGGTGCTGGTAACTGCAATAGCGCGCTCGGCAAGCACTGCCCCTACCCCAAATGTTTTCCTGTCAGCTTGAGGAGTAAGGCTCCCACTTCTTCCTCGTGGGAAATTCTCAGTCATTCTGCTCATTTGCTTTTTCTCTGTATTACTGTGATTTTCTTGTGTTCCCTTCAAAGGAAAACAATTACTTTTTATTTTCTTATTTATAAATGTTTTAATCCCCCAGAAACATGAACTATACAGAAGGTAGCTAGAAATCGGTGCAAAGTCCCTTTTACTCTGCAAGTTTCAACAAGTCCAAAGCTCATAGATTACATAAAGCAATGTGATTGTGGTGAATATTTTAACAGCTTCAGCACATGCTGGAGATGCAGCCTAGTATGCACAAGGCCCTGGGTTCAGTCACCAGCACTAAAATAATTAAGCAAACAGATAGACTCTCTTCAATAAAACTCCTCTAAAAACGTTTTCTGAACCTTCATCCAGAGTTAAGCTCCACCCTTCCTTAATCCCACAATATCCGGTAAATATATCTCAGTAAAAGTAGCCTATTAAAATGCATTTCCATTTTAAAAGTTAGAATATAGAACATAGTCAATAGTCAATAAAGGTATATTGGACTAAATTTAATTACTGTATCCATTAGGAAAATATGGTCCCTAAAACATTCTTAAAAGACAGACTTCTGGGGCTAGAAAGATGGTTCCGTGAGTAAAAGATCTTGTTACATAAACATGAGACTCTGAGCTCAGATCACAGCATCCACATAAAAAAGATCCAGCACACAGCTGTCACCACAGTGTTGGGGGAAGGAGAGAGACAGAATCAGAGGATCTTCTGGGCTTGCTGGCCACCAGACTAGCTCAAGGTTCAAAGCAATAAGACATGATGCTCAGTGTTCTCATTTGGCCTCCACGTGGGCACACACACATATGCACACACACACACACACACACACACACACACACACACACACACACACACAGAGCCTTCTGTGTTACTCTTAACTGTGGGTTAAATTGCAGAGTAGCAAAGTTTTACTGGTAAAAATATCCTAGACTGAGTCTGTTTGCTTCACATCCACTCCATTCATATCAACCTGCTGGTTTAGCATTTCCCACTTGCTAGCAAACACCAATGCCATTCACTCTGGAAGCTCAGAATCCATCATTCTTCCTCTCTCCCATTCTACCTGTGCACACCTGTGACAGCAAATACATTTGGGGCTGGTTCCCAAGATGAAAATATGGACAGTTTATGCATGTCTCACCCAGAAGGACACCTCTATTCCTCTGCTAAAGACTAAGAGTGAAGCAGCCATCAACAAGTGGTTCTAAGTGGGGAATCTGACTAGCGGGTTCCAGAAGACGTGTTCTGAAGTCTTTGGTTTGTAAGAAACAAAATGCTTGGCCTCCCGTTAGAGCTTACCTTCCTCGGCACTCTGAACATATCTTGTAAATAAGATCTGCCCAGCCATTCTCATGCAGCATCTCCCCAGAGTTGTTTGACAACAGACATACAACTTGGGGCTCTCTTCCTACTTCACGATAGTGACAGTTGTAACATTTTAAATTTGTAAAACAATATTTTCATCGAACTCCCCTAGGAAGATTAGGAAGAAATGCAGCTCTTGGTCTTTCCATCTTCAGAGAAGGGCTTAATGACAGGTTCAGCCTGTTTAATGACAGGCCCAGCACCACGCCCGTGTTTTATTGTTTCATTATTCCTGCATAAATGCCTTTTATTACACATGATAACTAAAAATCAAATACTTGCTGGGGTGGGTTTAAACAGGTAAGAGAGCAAACTAAGCTATACAGTGCACACGTGGAACCGTCGGGGTTTTGGAAGGAGGCCTGGCTAGTTACACACTGCTTGGCTTTGAACTTCTAGACTCCAGGGACTCTCCTGTCTCAGCTTCCCAAGTAGCTAAGTACAAGCACACGTCCAGGGATCTTAAATTCTTAAGATCTGCGTTTGAGTGTGTGATGTTATCTCTGTCTCTAAAACATTTTTTAACTTCAGAATTACAACCACAGCTCAAGGGGGAGAAAAAAAAATCTTTAAACACACGCAAAACGGGATTCTTGGAACGTTTTACTATTTTATCATGGCTGACTAAATAGGAAGACATAGCCCAAAGAAAATAGCTGTATCTGATGCAAGGTGTAAAACTCGTTAAATTCAACGCCATCTAGGTAGAGATAACTAGCCTCGCATGACAGATGTTGTCACTTTCAGACATCTTCAGAAAGTCGGAATTTTTTTTCCCCTACAGGCTTTCTTTCGACTACTCGATTGCAAGGGAGCGATTAACGTCTCCAGAGCGAAACCCGCAGGCCTGGACTAAATAAAGGCCTCTGCTCCGCCTGCTGGGTGCAGAGGCTCAACTTTTTCAAAAATAGCCAACCGGCCGCGTTGCGTCCCGGACTCCGGAGCTCGACCTTCTGCGCATGCCTCTCAGATCTTCCGATGCCGGGTCACCGCCCCCACATTCGTCTCGCTACGTCACAGGTGGTGGGCGGTGTTATCTGGGGGCGTGGTCTGAGGGGGCGGGGGCCGGCGGCGGTGCTGAACGCCAGCCGCTGCTTATTGCCCGCGGGCTCCCCACCGCGCCCAAGTCGGCTGTGCGAGCGGTGCGATTCCCAGGCGCTAGCGCTCGAGCCGGTGCGCTCCCAGGGCAAGCACCGAAGCTGCTGGATCCCCGGGGAGCGCAGGAGCCGCTCATAGACCAGGCTGCTGCAATCTCACGGCCAGCGGAGGACCATCCCTGCCGCTCCGCGTCGGGGCTGCGAGAGGAGGACAAGGACATGCTGGGCGGCGGCAGTGACTCGGGCCTGGCCACCGCCGCGGCGCGGGGGCAGGTGGAGACGGTGCGGCAGCTCCTGGAAGCCGGCGCAGATCCCAACGCCATCAACCGCTTCGGGAGGCGCCCGATCCAGGTAGCGGGGGACCCCGGGGCCTCACCGGCAGGGGGCGCAAGAGCGCGGTGCCCTCCGCGGCTGCAAATTGTGTCCGGGCACACCTGGGCCGCCGGCTTGTGCCTCCCGTGTGCAGCCCAACGAGAGGCAGGTTTTGAAAGATCAAAAATTCTGGGAGAAAAAAAAAAAGTGAAAAGACCCACTACACTTGCTTGGCTTTTTCTTTGTTCTGAGGTGCTGAGTCAGGAACCTACGGCCCTGTACGTGCTGGGCCAGTGCGATACCCTTGAGCAACATCCCCGCCTCTGGATCTTTGTAATGGTGGGAAAATACCAATATTTATTCTGCTATCTTACAATCATAGATACAAGGCCGACATTCGGAGAGCGAAGTGGGGAAGGAAGGGTCAGATAGAGAGGACGACATGATAAAGAGGAGTAGATTACCAGTTACACGGCCTGGATTCAAGGAATTTCACAAACTTGTAGCGTGTGAAGGGAGAGCGTTCCCTGTGAACTTTGTGAACAATGGTATGAATCTTTTCTATTTTTTCCCCCTCATAAACCAAATCGCATTCACATGACTAAGGATTTCTCAAACCCAGCACTTAATTCTTTGTATGCGGGCAGTAACTGTGTAGTTTTTCACTGTTTAGTTCAAACAGGCAAGCACTCCCTACAGAACTGTTGGGTCCTTTCACAATGACAAGGAGGTTCCCTAAACGTTCTCTTAATTTGTTCAGTGTTTTCTAATCCTGCTTTAATTAGTATTGACTTTATTTCTTGAAGATCTAACAATGGTTTTGTGTTCTGTTGATTATTACAGTCGCCTTTGCTGTTCACCTCACCGTCCCTCTCTGGGACTAAGGAAATGAGGGCTCTTGTTAATAGTGTGGATTTTTAAGAAAATAAATATTCATCCCTCTTGAATTTTCAGAAAAAGGAGATGTTTAACAAAAGAATATTTTTTCAAGCAACAAAAATATTGCCAAGTGATTATAAAGACCTTATAAAAACAGATTTTCTTATTTACTATCTTATTTTCTTTACTGAGAACTTTTAAACCTTCCTTTTGCAGCTGCAAAAATAACCTTTACTCCACTAGAAGAAATAACAAGATTGTTATATTTCTTGAAGGAAGGAAGGAATGTTTCTAATGTTCATGTGATAAGAATTGGCACATGAACACTGCCTCTCACTTGATAAAAAACTGACACTTGACCACTGCCTCTCACTCCATGTAAATTTCAAAGCCATAGGCCCACAAGAACCAGTGACTGCTCAGGACAATTAGACACCAAAAGCTGTTTTATTACTAATTTAATATTTGCATAGTGTAAAAAATAACTGCTATGGGATTACATCTCCAAAACATCAGGGTTTATTTTCCTAAATTATGCATCTTTAGGATTTAACAGCTACCAGCCAAGCTTTTTACAGACTTTTTAATATAGAAAAATACTACTTACCATTAAGTTTCTTATACAGTGTAAATGACTGTTAATTTCATATTACAATGTATTGCTCTAAACTTTCCATTGTATACCACACTAGGTTGAAATGTTAGAAGATGCTAAACATTTACAAGTAATTTGTTTCCATAATGTATAAGAAGCTTAGAATATGAACTTCCCTCTGATCTCCACTTGTAACGGAAATGATCAGAGTATATTCAGTTTGTGAGCACAGACATACATGACATTGAAAGAAAAAAACCTTTTTTAAATCTGACTTGCTTTTTGTTTTCTCCTCTAAAGCACTCCACTAACTTCTTAAAAAAAAAAAAAAAGCAACAGTAGAGTACCTAGTTTATAGGGTGTCTTAGTTTTGCTTTCTCTAGCCGTGATAAACACCATGACCTAAAGAAACGTGGAGAGAAGGGGGGTTATTTGGCTTACACTTAAATGCTGCAGTGCATCACTGAGGGAAGTCAAGGCTGGAACCTGGAAGCTGGAACCGAAGCAAAGATCATGGAGGAACTCACTGGCTTGCTTCTCAGACTCAAGTTTAGCCACCTTTCTCACACCTTCCAGGACCACCTGTGGGAGGGCACACCTAGAGTGGACTGAGCCCTCCACATCTATTAGTAATCAAGAAAATGTCCCACAGACTTGCCTACACAGGCCAATCTGATGGAGGCTTTTCTCCGTTGGGGTTCCTCTTCCCAAATGACTAGTTTGTGTGTGTCGTTGACAAACTAATCAGCATATATGGTTAGACCTAGAGGGATAAAGGAAGCAGCCTAAAAAACAATTTAAAACTTTATAAAGCCTGGCTCTGGTGTCCTGCCTTCAAGATATACTAGGGCAGTGTTGGCACAAAGCTTGTGAGTGTAACCATCCAATACCTGATTTGACTAAAGGGCCACTCCACAAGATGGAACCCATACCCAACACAGCTTTGGTGACCAAGAACCAGAACTAAATACCCCAGGGTCCTAGGGGAACACCAAATAGTACTGTGGTGGTGGGGGTGGGGGGATAAAATGACTCATACTGACATCTACTATACTCATAAATCAGTGCTTTGCTCATCCATCATCAGAGAAACTTCTTCCTGCAGCAGACATACAGAGACAGACATTATGCAGAGTAAGAGACCTTGAAACACACAGTGTTTCCATCAAATCCCTCCCCTCGGGGCTCAGGGAACTCTGCAGAAGAAGAGGCAGAAAGAGTGTAAGAGCCAGAGGAGATGGAGGATACCGAGAAATCAGTGACCTCTAAATCAACATGAGCAAAGCTCGTATGAACTCACAGAGACTGAGGCAGCATGCTCAGGGCCTGCATGGGTCTGCACCAGGTCCTCTGTGGATATATTATGGCTTCCAGCTTAGTGTTTTTAAGGGATTCCTGTGTGACCGAGTAGGTCTCTGAGTCTTGTGTCTTCTCTTGGAGTCTTTTCCTTCTGTTTATTTTGTCCAATTCCAATGTATTAGGTTTTATTTTATTTTGTTATTAATATCCCTTAGAAGCCTGGATATTTGTTTTCTAACAAGAGACAGAAAGGGAGTCAGTCTGAATGAGGGGAGTTTGGAGGGGAGGGGCTGGGAGGAGCAAAGGCAAGGGAAACCATAATCAGGATAAATTATGTGAGGGGAAAAGTCTATTTTCAATAAAAGGGGGAAAATAAAAAATAAATAAAAAGTCCGGTTCAAACTGCGCTAAGAAATCGCTTAAAATAAATCCCTGATGTCCAATATTACAAATAAGCAATTTGTCTGCCCTTTTCTGTCGCCTCACCTATGGAGAATAAAATAGAATCTATTTTGAGTTCAACCTAGGCTGTAACAGGTCGGGAGTGGATTTACGCAGGCAAACGAGAAACCAGACACCCGGGGCTTGTCAGCTCCTTGGGGAGGGGGCGGGATGGAAACTGCGTTCTAGGAAATGGCACTGCCGTGTCCCACCGACTCCACTCTCCAGACTCACCCTGAGCGCTCTCTCTCTCCCTTCCCCCGCAGGTCATGATGATGGGCAGCGCCCAGGTGGCAGAGCTGCTGCTGCTCCACGGAGCCGAACCCAACTGCGCCGACCCCGCCACTCTCACCAGACCGGTGCACGATGCGGCTCGGGAGGGCTTCCTGGACACGCTGGTGGCGCTGCACAGGGCAGGGGCGCGGCTGGATGTGTGTGACGCCTGGGGCCGCCTGCCGGTGGACCTGGCTGAAGAACAGGGCCACCGTGATATTGCGAGGTATCTGCATGCTGCCACTGGAGACTGATGGCAGGTTCGCTCAGCCTCCGGCAAGGACTTTTTTCACCCCACCACCATCTAGGCAGACTGCAAGCGTGAAGGAGATACTTTTTTCACCCCACCACCATCTAGGCAGACTGCAAGCGTGAAGGAGATACACTCGGCAGAACTGGCAAGCCTTCCAAAACTCAAAGCCTATCCAGGAAGGCAAAGCCAATCAGAAATAACTTCCCAAGTGTTTTCCTGCATCTGGATCTAGCCCTCTGTTCTCACCCTGAAGCCAAAGGGATCAGCAATTTGATTTAGTATTGTGTGAAGTTCCCTGGGCCCTTTACCTTTCAGGACATTGTGTAAAATAACAAGAGAAGTTCTTGAATCTCCACAATATGATGTGGAAGTGGGAAGTGGAGAGAGTGGTGATTGACATTTGGGAGGTAACAGTCAGTACCTTCCCCTGTGAACTCCCAATGTAGATGATCCCCAGGCTAGAGGGAAACCCTGGAGACTAGATGAGCATCACTGAAGTGCCCCTGGGGCTTTAAGCACTGTGTCACGTCATGCCTGGTGATTCACCTGCAAAATGGCATTCTGCTGAAAGTGAGGACTCCTCCCCAGCTCCACCTGGAAGATGACAGCAGATGTCTGCTAAACTCTATGAACCACGGTTGCTTGATGGTCTGGTTCCTGACAGACTCAACCTACACAAAGTCCAATGGTGAATCGTAGTATGTAGCAATTTGCTCTACTTAAATAGTTTAGGAACCCCTCTAGGAACTTCCTACTTTTGAGTTCTTTAGAAACAGTGTATTTAATGAGTTACACTTTAACAGTGTTAACTTCTTCTGGTCCTCAGCAGAGGTGGACTGAAGTGCAGCTTGTTTTTGTTTGGTTGGTTTTCCTTCCTTCCTTCCTTTTTAAGGCAGCACTTTCCAGTGTAGCTCAAGCTAACCTCAAGTCATGGTACCCCTGCCTTAGCCTCCTAAGTACTGGGCTTGTAGCAGGCACCCCTTCTTTAGTACAGAGTCCTAGGGAAACTGTGACATGTGGCACACTCCTAGTGGCAGTGCACACCCTGCTTTCATCCTCTTTATTTCTCTGTTCACTGTTTCCTGTATAGTGAGTGTCTCAGGAGAACTATGCTGGTGTCCTTTTAAATGACAGACGCACTTATTATCCTAGTCAGTTACCTTGGGCTACTTCCTAAAGGGTTGGAAAAAGAGGTTAAGTATGAACTTAAATGACAACTTGTGGGCTGCCTTGCTTGTCTACTGAACAAATTGTGGGTACACTCTGTGGGGCTTCCATTGTGACTTAGTTCATTACAGCATTGAAACGATTGATACATCCTTGTTTTAATAAAGAATAAACAGCATAGATAGACTCCATGATGTGAATAATCTGGCGTTATTTCCAAGGCTGGAGAGATGGCTCAGATTCTGAGCACTCATCAGGTGGCTCACAACCACCTGTAACTCCAGATCCAAGGAAGGTCAATATCTCTGCCTCCACAGGCACCTTCATTCATGTTCATACACACACACACACACACACAATTTAAAAAAAAAAAAAAAAGCTCAAATAAATGTGGGGCCTGGAGAGAGGTCTCAGTGATTAAGAGCCTTTGCTGTTCTTCTAGAGGAACCATTCAGTTCGCAGCAACCATATCAGGTCCAGGATATTATGACCCATACATGGCATACACTTGAATATTCACACAATTTTTTAGAAAATCAATGTATTTCCATGGGCTTACCACTAACTCCCAAATGTTAAAAGATTCAAAAGTGGGTTGGGGATTTAGCTCAGTGGTAGAGCACTTACCTAGCATGCGTAAGGCCCTGGGTTTGGTCCTCAGCTCCAGAAAGAAAAAAAAAGATTCAAAAGTGTTCACTGTTTCTGTCCTTTATACTAAACTTTGATAAGTGATTTTAATAACATTTTTAAATCTGCTTACTTACAGTAAAATGTAAAATTTACGTTTTATGCTTCTGGGTGTCAAATATAGTGGATATTCATTTAAATAGAGAAGAGGAACTAGAAAGGCAATTTGAGAGTAGAGACATAAGAAGGAGTGACTTTTAACTAAAATTTCCCTATCAATTCCTTACTTCCCAAATTAATATATTACCAAAGAAGATGCTGAGAACTAGACCATATCTTCTTGGGGAAGGGAAACATGTTTATTGATACAGTTTACACTGGGCATGCTTTAAAACACATCTGTTCCTTCAACACATAAACCTTCCACGATGTGCAAAAGTCAGTCAATTTGGCCCCAAATGGGGGTCTTTTAAAGTTCACAAACAATAGAACTAATTTGGCTTGTGGAACAGGAGACTGGCAAGTCTGGTATCCAGGGGCCACACCTACTGTGGGTTTCTTGCTACAGCACAATGTGGCAAAAAGCATCATGGTGTGGGAGACCCCGGGAGAGGGCAGAGTCTCAAGTAGTTCAGCAACCCCCACACGTGAACTCATGCGGGTGGTGCCCACATGGGCTGAGCACCATTCTGGTCTCATTCTGTTGCAGTGATCAACACTGACCAAAAGCAACTTTAGGAAGTTCAGGGTTTATTTGACTTACAGCTGTGGTCCATCAAGGGAAGCTAAGCCAGAAACTCAAGGCAGGAAGTACAGCAGAGACCACAGAGAACTTACTGGCTTGCTCCTCTGCACTTGTTCATGGTGCTTTCTCATATAAACCAGGCCCGCCATACCTGGAGGAGCACCACCCACAGCGGGCTGGGCCTTCCTGCCTGAACCAACAATCAAGACAGTAGTCCACGGATTTGCACACAGGTCTACCTGATGAAGGCATTCCCTGGTGGAGGTTTCCTCTTCTCCAGTGACTCTAATTTGTGTTAGGCTCACAAAAGCTACCCAGCGCAGTACTTCCCCTTCATGTCCACCACCACTCAGCACAGACCATTGGGGGTTACGCTGGCTGTTAATACATACTTGAGGAGACACATTTAAAGGACAGCAGAGGCCCTTTTTACATAAATCGCCTCATCCCCGCTGCGTTCATTTATATTAACAGGTCATATCCCCCATGGCTTTGCATGTGGCTTTCTCTCAATCTCTTTGCTGTGTATCCAGTCATCCTATTTATGTGAACTGCTCAGCTCTCCATAAAGAGCAAATCCTCAGGGAACTCTCTCAATAGCTGATAACTTACTGTTGAATAGATAAAGCCCTGCTTCAACCCTTACTTTGCCGATAACTGATGAACAAGTAGCTGAAGAACCTCCATTTCATCTTGCCTGAGTCACTACTCTATGATGACCTACATGATCCTCTAGCCTAGAATTAAACCACATAATAGTGGCTGATATTCTGCCTCCTGTGGTACTGAGTTCACCCTGATGGCAAAACTAGATCTTACTGGTTTTTTTTTTTACCCCTATGCATCGCGCAGCATCTGAGATGTAGATGGCCCAATAAATAGAAAAATAATTGTAAATAATTATTATTCAAGGGAGGGGAGAGTAAAACTCATGACTGCAAATATCAATGCCTACTCAAAGAAGAACAAGTTTAAAGGAATAACGAAGTCCTACATGTATGCAAAAGGTATTCTACCTTTCCCTCTACAGTTTGTACTGTAAGTTAATAACTCATGATCATATGCATTTGTAGAGTACAAAACGTTAGGATTCCTGAACACAGTGGGGAATGGCTGAATCAAGCTAGTTAACACATCACTTCAAGCAACATTATGCTAAGTGAAATCCAAACACCACAAGTCCCCCGTCCCGCCCCCCTCCCCCGTATATGAAGACTCTGAAATGCACTGAAGCAGATATTTAAATAGTACTCACAGAGGGACAAGGATGGGAGGCATGTCACAAAAGCTCAGACCAGGGAAAGATGTTTGACTTTGTCTTTAATGATAGTAAGTGTTGTGAGAAACACAGTCAAGTGTGCAGATTTTAATGTTACTACAATAGAAAACTCCAGATGTTCCTACCACACTGACGACACTTTTGCTTCCACTATACCATCCTGTCTTCAAAATCATAAGCGATACAAGGGGAAACAGGCATTTTTTCAGAGCGCAGAAACGATCTCTCTTTTACCTTCCTGGGGTGGCTCTTATATAAAATCTCGGAAACAAAAACATTGTGTTAAACATGATTTTAACTAGCTTTTAGAGAATAACTCCCCCCCCCAAAAAAAAACCTCAAAATTATCAGCGTAAAGCTTCCATCTGTCTATACAGACTTACTCTAAGTCCTCCAGCAGCCTGCTGCATGAGACCCTCCCCCACCCTACCTCCACTCCCTGAGGATTCCACCTCTTGATGAGGCTCCAGAGTTCCCTTAACTCTTTCCTGCCAGGCCTCTCAGCCTTCCCTTCTCGCCCATCCCTCATACTTTTGTGTCAGCCACCGACCTGCAGATACACTCTCTTCCAGGGACCCCCAGTGGCTACACTGAGCCAAGTAGATGATTTTCACTACCCTCCCTGGCCTCCATCCTCTTTCTCCACAATCGCTCTTCCTCCTGCAGCAACCTGCCTGCAGGAGCCCTTCCCATCCCAATTCCGCTCCCTGAAGCCTCCATCTTTGGTGTCATCTGCTGCTTCTAGCTCTTTGCCACTGCCCCTCTCAGCCTTTCCTCCTCGCCTATCACTATTCATTTGTGTCACTCACCAACCCACAGAAACACTCTACTGGGAAACCCCAGGGTCACCACACTGGCCTAAGATCCAGACAAGAGCAGGCAAAGAAGGGAGCAGTCACCCAAGAAGACACCAGATAGCTATACCACAGAACACTGCAGACGACATCCTAACTCCAGATGTCTAGGTCCAAGCACCAAAGCACAAACATGAACACCCAAGACAATATGCCTCCTCCAGGAGCCAATAACCATATTGCAATAGGCCCTGAGAAATTCAATTAAGCTGAAGCACATAAGGACCTCAACATGGCAATTATGAGTATGTTCTCAAATACCTTAAAGAGGGCATGAATAAATGCCATAATGAAATACAGTTGAATGAGTAAAAATCATTTTTGAGACATGAAAATAGAAATGGAATCACTAAAGAGAATCCAAATTGAAATGAAAAACTTAGGATGTGAAACAAAAGCCTCACAGATATTCCTTCTAAGGTGAAGAGTAAGTTATTGCTCTCTCCATGAACCCATACCTGACACTGTAACATGGCCAAGAACCTAAAATGAGAATAAGTCATGGCCACGGGGAAAACCTACTATTATTCTGCTAATAATAGTAGCAAGAAGGAACATAGCAAGCAATAAAATGACCCCTAATGACACACTGTTATACCACAGACCAGTGCTTCACTCAACACACATCAGTGAAGGCTCTTCTTGCAATGGATGGCAGCTAACAGAGACCCACGAATGAACAAGGTGCAGAGGGATTTCGAAGCACCCAGTCCTAAATGGGGTGTCTTTATCAAACCCCTCCCTCCCCACAGAGCTCAGAGGGCTATGTGGAAAACCAAAAGATTTGAAGAGCCAAGCGGGGATGGATGACTTCAAGGAAACGGTGTCTTCTAAACACAGTTTAGGGTTAATGCACCTATGAACTCAGAGACTGTGTGGCAGCCTGCACAAGTTCAAGCCCTAAAAGGGTGAAGTGGACACTGGCTCCCACCCCTAACCAAGAAGCTATCTGCAATAAAGACCCACTGGCAAGGGAGAATCAGTCTTCTTCAATGGAGTCTCACAGGCTCACAGTCTCTATCAACCACACAACACAAATTCAATGGTATTTTTGTGGATTTTCTGTTGCCTTTTGCCTTTTTTGTTTGTTTGTTTCATTGGCCTTTTGCTTGTTTGTTTTGATTTTTGTTTTTGTGGGTTGAAGAGGTGTTTTTGCTTTTGTTACTTGGTTTTTGTTTTTCAGAAAAAAAAGACAAAGTTGGGTGGGTAGGAAGTGGGCATTCTCTAGGAGAAATTAAGGAAGGGAAAAAACATAATCAAAATATATTGTAAGAAAAAAAACGAGCAAAAATAATGGAGCGCTCATTTTCATACTGGGCTATAAGAATGGGAAATATAATTCTAATCATCATTTTAATAATCAATAAAGGCCAAAAATAGAATTTTAAGGATATATTATTTTATAACAGCTTCAAAGAAAAATCATAGAAGTAGTAATATAAACCTCTCATTTGATTTATAAACTCCCTTGGCTTCTTCTTTATTTCTTTTGGTCCAAAGGATTGAATTTGCTAGTTTGAGGAGAATGACTCATAAAGTTGATTATCTCTTAAAATATGAATATTTGGCAGCTGTTATTTCATTCCCAATTTAAAGAAATGGTGGGATAATTCTCAGTGACAACTTGATATAGTGAAAAGTAATTTTTAAGAATTTATGAACTCCACAGTAGTTTATTAGTTTTTG